GGAGTCTCGTGTCGGTCATGTGGACGATGTGCCCAGCCCATTGTAACTGAACAAGGGGGGGTCAGTGCCTCGATGCTGGGGATGTTGGCCTGGTTGAGGACGCTGGTGTTGGTGTGTCTGTGCTTCCCAGCGGATCTTGCACAGACAGTGTTTGGTGGTACTACTGCAGCACCTTGAGGTATCTGCCCCAGTGCCATGTAACCCCCAGTGATTTTTATACATCAGTCTAAAGGAAACATATTGTCAACTTTGACCTCCTCTACTCTGCCCAGATGAGACATACCAGACCAAGGCATCTACCTCGAGTAAGGTATGAGGGTAGCATTTACCGTCCTAGAATAACCTCTATTTCAGCCGTTTTAGTTCTCTTTTTAGTTTTCTTCTTTTGATTTTCTATTCACTTTAGACACAAATTAAAGGAGTAGGGTCCTTGCTTTCAGCAAGATTCACAATGGAAACTTCAAAAATATTATCTCTGAGGTGTTTGCTCCAACTTATAACCATGAGTGCCATTTTAAAACTATTATTTTAATTTCCTTTGGAAATATTTCACAAGGAATTTAACTACGGTGACTTGGCAAATTTTGATTCACACAGCTGAAAGTGGGTTTGTAACAGAAAAAGTAGGCGTTTTAAATCACAGTTTCCATCTACAAGCTCTGAATAACCAATTTGCAACACTTAAAATGACACTCTTACAAAAAAGCAAAACTGGTTTGTAGTTGGATTGTCGTAAGTTCCGTAATAAACCGAAAATCTTTCAAAACGTCCCTGTTAGTATCAGAGCACGGAGGAGCCAACTTAATTTTGGAACCTCTTCAAAAGTCAGCAAGGGAACACAGTTAGTGGAATCTGCCCCCGGTGGTGAACCTGAGAACATTACCTGCTGAGGTCCACATCTAGCAGGATTTTGTTTACAATGAGTATAAAAGCTGTGCAAACTTGATTCCAAATTGTGCTCAAAATTCTGTGAACTTTTGTAGCAATTACGACAATAATGAATGAATTGGGCCAATAAGCCATCCCAATTAAGCAGAAACTCTAGGTTCTACAACTATAACTTTGTTCAATGATTCTGTTTTTCATCTGAATCTGATTCCTGCTGTTATGTCCCAAGAACACCAGTCACACTCTACTTTCTTAAGCAACACCCAGTCTAAATACTGAATGGCTCTGATGCTGACTGTTGTGCCAATGATATTGCCCATGAGGTGTTTAACAATGTATTGTCTGAATGGCTCAGTGATATATTGGAAATGATGTAAGATAATTTAATCCTTTAAATATGCAACACAATGTCTGAGTCGCTCAGAAACCAGGGCTGAATTTTACCATTTTTTCAGCTAAGTCACACCAAGTTTGATGAAGTGATTCTTGCCATGATTCTGGGCAAATTTTCTTGCCATCTCTTCACAAACTCACCAGCAGTGTGAATAATGCCCGGCAACTGCCCCATCTTAGCACACTTCATTCACGGAGGAACTTGCTGCTCAACGAGGGTCCTCTATGGCATCCCTTGGGGTCACATCAAAGCCCACTGCCATCTGCAAGCTGTGCTATTTGGCTGCGTTAGGTGTCATGGGACATGGCACAGAAGGGGAAAGGCTTCTCTAAGAGGGACCTGAATGCCCCTTATGGGCAGGGTGATGGAGAGGAGAGGAGTCCTGTCCTGGAGAGGAGGCCCTGCTAGCCTGGTTGGAGATACCAACTGGCTCAGTGACATCTCCAGGGTGAGGTGGGCAGCAGTACAGGAAGGTGAATGATCTCCTCGTTGTGCCAGGCTCTGTACAGTACTCTGCTCTCTGCTGCCTCATTCATATCTGTCACCTTCCATCAATGCTACGCTCTGATGCACCCTCTGTAGCGTGTAACGCCTTCTCTCACTCACTCTCATTTCGTCCTCGTCCATTCCACACCTCTAACCCTGTGTGCCCTCTGCACTGCCTCCTCACTCCCTCAGTGCCCCTCACCCACATGCACAATTCCTAACAGCCATGCCACCCAATGGCTAGAAAACTGATACATGGTTTGTTAGAATTAGAATTGGAATTAGGTTTATTGTGGCAAATACAGGGACACGTGAGTACAGCGAAAAGTGTACAAAGTCGCCATTTTTGGCGCCATCTTAGGTACAAAGATACCTTGGTACAAAATCTTAGATATAAATCAGAAAAATAAAGAAATAATTGTAAAAATTCAGAACACAGTCCTTCAAAAGCGGGGAGTCCACACTGGGCTTCACCTCAAGGGTGGGAGTCCATTGGGTCTACGCTTCCTCAACTCACCACCACCGATGCCAGAGGTAAGTAGAGAAAAAAAAAAGAAGAAAAAGAAAAAAAAACAAGAAGGAAAAGAAGAAAAGATATGGACAGAATGGACGAGCCTGCTCCACTGCCATCTTAGTCACTTAGCTTGAACGTTATATTTGATAACAGTAGTTTATTTATCATGCTTTGCTATGTGCACTGTTTAGTTAGAAAACCATTCATGTTTAAAGTTTCTTTCATGACCTATTGAAATAATTATAAGCCCTTGTGTTACACCATTCATCTGGTTTCACCTGGCTCGGTGTTGGCGGTAGATGTTTCATAGCACCCTGTGTCATCCCTCTTTGGCCATTAACAAGGCACAGAGGTCTGGGGGCTGTGATGATGACTAAATATGCCCTGAGACAGCAGGGGGCAGCATAGCCCCCTCACTCACTCAGCTCGCTCCATTGCGGTCATTTCCCTCAACACTGTGTTCTAACCGTGTGCTTCACGATCAGTCCAACACTGAGTGGTTCTCTACTGCTGGCTTTCAGTGTGCCACAGAGACACCCACCCCATCATCTCCCTCTCCTTCACAGGTGCCCATTCCATTAACTTTCCACTTCTCCAGGGCATTGCCCAAGCTGTGTGCATCTGACTCCCAACTTGTCTTACCTTCCCCTGTCTCTTCCATCCTCAGCACCTCCTTTTCCAGGCTTCCCCCACTACCCGAGGTGAGGGAACTACTGTGACCCATCCACTTGAGTCTCATGGCCTGCCTGCACCAGCTCTTGGCTGCCCAGACCCTTGTCTGGTGGGCACACATACTCCCGACTGTGCCAGTCCTCACCCCTGGTCTGGCACCTATGGAGACAAAGATCTGACTGTCACCCAATGAGAGAACAAGGAAGTGAACAAGGTAGGCAGTCTGGTCAGCACTGTGGACTGGGTTCCTGTCTCTGTGTGTGTTATACCCGTACCTGATGTAGCTGTACACTGCTGGTTATCAGTGTGCCCTCCTAGACCAGTCTGCCCTTGCATATCACAGAATGGGTACATTGGAGAATGACCAAAGTACAGGATTACAGTGGGAATATGGTACAGGAGCAGGCCAGTCATCCCAAACAGCTTGTGGCAATGTTTCTGCTCCACTTGAGCCTCCAACAATCTTTCCTCAACTAAATCTATGATTGTAAACCTCTATTCCTTCTGTGCCATGTGCTTCTGTGCTATCCATTTCATTCAGCCCATTTCGGAATAGATTTCAGAGTCACACTCTTCTTCCAACCAAGACTCTTCTTCGGAATTCCTTGATGGTGGCATCTATCACAGAATCATAGAATCCTTACAATGTGGAAACAGGCCCTTCGGTCCAACAAACCCACACCGACCCACGGAGCATCCCATCCAGACCCTCCCCCTATAACCCACCTGTGGGCAATTTAGCATGGCCAATCCACCCTAACCTGCACATCTTTAGACCGTGGGAGGAAACCGGAGCACCCGGAGGAAAAACACACAGACACGGGGAGAATGTGCAAACTCCACACAGACAGTTGCCCGAGGGTGGAATCGGACCCGGGTCCTTGGCGCTGTGAGGCAGCAGTGCTAACCACTGAGCCACCGTGCCACAACCGCACCCCTCCCCCACCCCTAGCTAGTGATATGTTCTCCCACACAAGAAGAAGTACTCTGTCTCAACTCTACCAAAACATTTCAAAATGTTAAGGCGTTTGTTGGGAGAGACAGTGGTAATAGCACTGGACTGGTCACCTAGAGAGCAAGGCTAATGTGCTGAGACATGTGGTCAGATCTCACCATTGTAATGGGTAGAGTCTTAAATTCAATGAAATTATCTGGAACAAAATGCAAGTCTCAGTCATAGTGACCATGACAACTAATGTCAACTGTGGGAAAAACCCAAGTGAAAGCCTGCCAGCCTTACCTGCTCTGGCCTACCTGTGACTCCAGACCTACAGTAATGTGATCAACTTCTAACTACCCTCTGAAATGACCTCACTTGTGGACAATTAAGGACGGTCAATAAATGCAGACCTTGCCAGCAATGACAGCCCATGAATAAAATAAATTGGCAATTGGTCAGCTTTTCTTCAGGAGGTAAGTGACCCATCCTGCCAAATAGCCCCTGATATGCAAACTCACATCAAAATTTAGCGTCTTCCACAAATTGTAAAGTTGTGTTTTTGATTGGAAATTCCAAATCATTAATGCAAATTCAATTAAAAAAGATCTTGGTCCCTGTACTGAAAGATATGTGAAGCCATTAAGAAAACTAATCCCATATGTTGCATTCACACAGATAGTAGCATTTGTAACTCACTTGTGTAAACAGATTCTTAACTGGGCAGGACAGTCAAGCTTATATTCACAGTAAAATTGTGTTCAGTATTTCAATGCTGAAGAAAACTTGTAGGATTGGTGAAATTTTGTGGGACAGCAGATTGTAGAACTCAGCATTCTGTGGTTTTGTTACTGTTAAGTTGGTACTGTTCTTAATCAGGTATCTGAGGTACAATAGGATTATTTCAATGGTGAAGAAATAGAAACAAACCCAGTCGAAATGTTTACTTATTTTATTACCAATCCTAAATGATACAGAAATAAAACAAAGAACTGCAGTAGCTGGAGATCTGAAACAAAAACAGAAATTGCTGGTGGAACTCAGCAGGTTTCGCAGCATCTGTGGAGAGAAAACAGAGTCAACATTTCAGGTCCAGAGCTGGTCCAGTTTGTCTGACGAAGAGTCACTGGATTCGAAACATTAACTCTGCTTTCTCTCTACAGATGCTGCCAGGCCTGCTGAGTTCCACCAGCAATTTCTGTTTTAGTTTGAAATCATACAGATCCTGTGATTGTGGAAGGTAAGAAAATGTTAAGGACAGGAAAAGTTCATTCCGTCCATTAATCCCATTCCTCTCTGTGTTGTGGGCTTTATAATGATCGCCTTGGCTTTGGAGACAGGACAGATGAAAGAAACAGCAGCTGGATGTGTCACAGTAACCCTAACAGTCATTGGTTCCTCAAACAAATGAAGTGGTTTTGCTGTAGGACTATTCGACATACTTTTTCAATAATGATTATTACAAATGATATTTTGAATTGTTCAGTATTGAAATTCAAATCCAAAATATTAGGCATATTAAGGTAAGGTATCACATTTTAATGAAAGTTTGGATTTAATATGGTGCATAAATGAACTCTTTGTGTGAAGAATATTGTTATGAAATGAGTTGTATAGCAATCAGGGCCTGACTTGTTTAGAGAGGAAACCGGACTGGAGAATTGGATGATGCAGCTATTGTCAAAATTGCAAGGAGTGGAATGAAAGACAAGTCAGGAATTTGAAGGAAGGAAGAAAAGATTAACAAGCACAAGGAAATTAAGTAACAGAATTGTGATCTTAGCATAGTAGAGATGATAGGAAAGTGAGGGAGGATTCAGGGCAGTGTACTCAGGAGCTTAGGAATTCCCTGGCAGAAAAGATATGATTAAAATGGTTATGAAAAAGGTTATAACAGAAAGATGGCTGCAGAGAGGAGAAAAGAACTGTGCATCAAATTATCAGTTTTCCTTCATATCCTGTTCAGTGGCATGAGAAAGATATTTACAGTAGTGTTCATAAATATTAACAAGTATTTGATTCTTCAGCTGGTTATTTCAAAGCTTAGAGGTAAATGTAGCACGGCACAATAATCTGACTGCCATTGTTATGTTACGTGCCTAAGAAGAGAGGGTTGCTTTGTTTACATGCCATTTCTTTGCTGTAGTGTGCTGATGGGTGCACAATAAACCTGGAGAAAAGGCTACACTGCAACAGAGTGCAAACCATATTTGAAACATTGCTCATTCACCCCAAATTGATCAGAGCTGGTTGCCTCTCTTTTCCCATCTTTCGCTCCTTTCCAGTTTTGCGTTTCACTTCACCTCCCAATACCTCAAGGCGAAGGGTACTTTTCAGATTCATCAGGCCTGAGTTTTCCTACTTTATTTACACAGATAAGGATGAGGGTGAGGAACCAGAGACTCCAACCAACTGCAGCAGCAATCCATCCGTATTCATCCACACCATGCTGACAGCACAGCCTTGCTGTCACACAAGTGTCCCAACCATTTTGGAAATCTGCAAAGGAGATAAAATGTGCTTTTGAATCTCAGAAAGCTTGTCTAAAAAGTTTAAATTCGTGCAAGACAACCCAAACCCAGCTTTGGAAATAGTAAGAACTGCAAACCCAGACTTCATTAGTTTTAACGGACGCCAACCAAGTGTAAGTTACAAATTCACTCTCCAGGATTATTACGGATATTGTAAAGGAGGCTGTATGCATCCCAATTTTGCATTAAAATTTATCTTTAATCCCTCGTGGAGCCTGGTAGCTGAGGGAAGGGTGAAGTACCAAATGGAGCAGTTATATTACTTTACAGCACGGCTTGCGGACTAAGAGGAGCAATAGTGCCCCAACCAGCCACATAAATAGAATAGAATATCCTTTATTGTCATGTGTGCTCCATTGTAGAAGTACAGGAGTACAGTGAAAAACTTTTACAATGTCTGCCTCTTATGGCACCATCTTAGGTACAAGTACCTAGGCACAAATCTTGGATACAAATGAGGAATAAAAAGTAGTTGCATTACTTTACAGGATTTAAAAAATAGGTTAGAAATAAGACACCATTAAAGGATTGACATTACAGGCAGGTAAAAAGTTTCAAATAGACTTTACATTGTAGCAGCTCAGCGCAGGGCCTCTGTCTGTTGTCTGACTGCCCACAGCAGACCCAGGTCAAACAGCTGTCCCTACTCTGCTCCAAGCTTCCAGTCTGCTCTGTACCAGCACTCAGCTGCTCCAAGGTAAGTTCCAGGACTGCATCCCACGTGCCAGTCTCTGCCCAGGACTCACAGCCTGCGTGCTGCTCTGGGACTCGCTACCCATGCGCTGGTCTAGAGCTCACTGCCCGCGCTGCCTTATACTTAAGTAAACCCTTAAGTAACTGTCTCAGCAATCTGTCCAAACCCACTGCAAACTACCAATTCCCCCTCTGATATATCCCATTTCCACCCTCCCCTCCATTTGCTGACTGGTAATCTATGCAATTGTCTCACAATTCGTCTGTTCAAATCTTTACTCCAAGAGGTTAAAAGCTGAAACATTTAGGAAACAAGAAACATGTCAAATACTCCTGATGAAAAGCTTTCTTTTGGTAAAAGTTTCTCTTAAGTAAACACTACGTCAGCATGTTTTTATCACATCACCCTTACAAATAAACCCCACATAAAGTTTGAGCCACAAAGGTCCCTTGATGGCATTAACATTCGAAGTGCAGTGATGCTTCACCTGAATGAATATTTGCATCTTTGGAGCAGATGGGAATTGTACCTGGGCCTACTGGCTCAGAGGTAGGGACACTACCACTGCAACACAAAAACCCTCCCTGCTAGTATTACACTGGTTCAGAAGCTGGTCTTTCTAAACATACTAGTAGAAAAGTAATACACTTATTTAGTATAATAAAATGATACAAGATTGTTCACATTTTAAAACAAAAGCGTAACACTTGTAATGTTTTCGTGCTGTTTGTTCAAAGAATTGAAGCAAGTTTGCACTGGGAGTCATTGATAGCAACTCAAACATGTATAATCTGCCAAACACTGCTCTAGAGAATGACTGTAGGAGGAAGATTTGCCATAAAAGATATTCAAACCAGTTCATACATGTGTTCCAACCATGCTATCTATCTAAATGGATAAGCTCCTCTAAATATCAAGAGGCTCATGATACAAGAGGATATAAAACGTGCCAAGGACACAGTGTTACAGAAACAGCTAGAACATTATTTCGCCTTTAATGCCATTTTCTTCATTTCAAAGCTAGCAATGACAAAATGGGTTGTGTTAACAATTCCAACTACAAATCTAAAATCTGTATGGCCGAATCTTATTGTTCTCATGTAAGAAAGAGTCATATTTGTGACTGCCAAAGAGATTTGTAAAGCTGGAGGCGTCGTAATTTTCTATAAGTTATAAATCAATTTACAATGAAGCCATGACAATGTTGTTACGGTTAATGTGTTCAAAAATGCTTTCACTTAGTGTTTTATGTTCAAACTCATGCTGCACTCTGCCCCTTAGTCATACTCACATTGTTCACACTGATCCATACTGTGTCTATTGGATTCTGTTTGTATGGAGTTACTGTTGAGCGAAGTTATTGCTTGCTCTGAAAGAAGAAAACAAAGCTCCTGTTTCTTCAAAGTTGATTAAAAGCTGTTAATGAAATGACACTGGAAATTCTTGCAGGTTAACAGAATCTGAACACTTACCAGCTGCAGCTGAAGCCCAGTGCACACAAAGCAGAATCAGACAAACGGTGCTAGTCATGCACTGACTCACAGATCTGACATCCATGATTTCGAGAAGGAGACAAGTCAGCTTCACTCTTAAGTCAATCCTTTATCTTGCCGTACGCTCAATGATGTCCCTTTAAAAAACTTCAGAGGGGAAAAAAAAACTTGCCTGTGATTTCGCCACACCTCCGTTCTGTCAAAGCAACCTTTCCCAGTTTTGCACTAACTGGAAAAGGACAATTAATTGCAGTCAAGCGAAACGCTAATGTCGTCAGAGATTGCATAATTGGGGAATAAGTGAAAGCAATTAACATGGAAAAAACTCAGTGGATTGTTGTACTTTTCTCCCTCCATGTTCTGTTGCATTTCTTTTGTACCACAGATTGTCCCCACATGCATCTGCATTATTTAAGTTGCCTGTTTTTCAAATGAACAAAGAAATTTGTATCTTGCAATGTCCCGCATCAATTACAGCAAAGTGGCTCGATCAAAGACATACTTTTGACACCGTTCGCTCCTCCACCACCACCTCTCGGTGCCAACAATGTGTATGATCTAAAAGATGCCCTGCAGCAATCCTGCCAGCTTCCTCTGATAGCACCTTCCAAACCTACACTTCTACCATCCAGAAGGACAAGGGTAGAGAAAGCATAGGGACGTCACCACCTACAAGTTCCCCTCCAAGCCATTCAAAATCCTGACTTGGAAATGTATCACCGTTCCTCCACTTTGCCTGGGTTAAAATCCTGGAACACCCAAGCAAGCAGCACTGTCGATACACCCTACACTATAAGGACTGGAATAGCTCAAGAAGAAAGCTCACCACCACCTTTTCAAGGGCAATTAGGGATGGGCAGTACAATGCTGGTCTATATTCCTTGACCACATCCCATGAATGAATTATAAAACGGTTGGTGCTGCATTGGCAGTCAATAAACGCATAGACAATAGAGCTGTACAGCATGGAAACAGACCCTTCAGTCCAACTTGTCCATGCCGACCAGATATCCTAAATCTGCCAGCATTTGGCCCATATCCCTCTAAACCCTTCCTATTCATATACCCATCCAGATACCTTTTAAATGTTGTAATTGTACCAGCCTCCACCGCTTCCTCTGGCAGCTCATTCCATACACGCACCTGCCCCTGTGTGAAAAAGTTGCCCCTTAGGTCCCTATTAAATCTTTCCCCTCTCACCTTAAACTTATACCCTTTAGTTTTGGACTGTCCCAGCCCTGGGAAAAGACCTTGGCTGTTCACCCTATCCATGCTCCTCATGATTTCATCAATCTCAATAAGGTTACCCCTCGGCCTCCGATGCTCCAGGGAAAATAGTCCCAGTCTGTTCAGCCTCTCCCTATAGCTGAAACCCTCCAACCCTGGCAACATCCTTGTAAATCTTTTCTGAACCCTTTCAAGTTTCACAACATTTTTCCTATAGAAAGGAAACCAGAATTGCACACAGTATTCCAATAGTGGCCTAACCAATGTCCTGTACAGCCGCAACATGACCTCCCAACTCCTATACTCAATGCTCTGACCAATTAGGTCAAGCGTACCAAACACCTTCACCAACCTGTCTACCTGTTATTCCACTTTCAAGGAACTATGAACCTGCACCCCAAGGTCTCTTTGTTCAGCAACACTCCCCAGGACCTTACCATGAAGTGTATAAGTCCTGCCCTGATTTGCCTTACCAACATGCGGCACCTCACATTTATCTAAATTAAACTCCATCTGCCACTCCTCAGCCCATTTGCCAATCTGATCAAGACCCTGTTGTACCCTGAGGTAACCTTCTTCACTGTCTGGCACACTACCAATACTGGTGTCATCTGCAAACTTACTAACCACGCCTTCTATGTTCACATCCAAATCATTTATATAAATGACAAAAAGCAGTGGACCCAACACCGATCCTTGTGGCACACCATTGGTCACAGGTGTCCAATCCAAAGCAACCCTCCACCACCGTTCTCTGCCTCCTACCTTCAAGCCAATTTTGTATCCAAATGGCTAGCTCTCACTGTATTCCATGTGACGTAACCTTGGTAACCAGACTACCATTCGGAACCTTGTTGAATGCCTTGCAGAAGTCCATACAGACAATGTCCACATCTGTGCCTTTATCAATCTTCTTTGTCACTTCTTCAAAAAATTCTAACAATTTGGTGAGACAAGATTTCCTATGCACAAAGCCATGTTGACTATCCCTAATCATTCCTTGCCTTTCTGAATACATGTAAATCCTGTTCCTCAGGATCCCCTCCAACAATTTACCCATCACTGATGTCAGGCTCACTGGTCTATAGTTCCCTTTTCCATACCACCTTTCTTAAATAATGGCACCGCATTAGCCAACCTCCAGTCTTCCAGCATCTCACCTGTGGCTATTGATGATTCAAATATCTCAGCAATCTCTTCCCTCGCTTCCCACAAAAATCTGGGATACATCTGGTCCCAGGGATTTATCCACCTTTGTGCATTTTAAGACATCCAGCACCTCTTCCGTTGGAATGAACTTCCTAAGGAAGTGGTGGATGTGGGTACAATTACAACATTTAAAAAGCATTTGGATAAGTACATGAAAGGGAAAGGTTTGGAGGGATATGGGCCAGGAGCAGGCAACTGGGATGAGTTTATTTTGGAATTATGTTTGGCATGGATTTGTTGGACCGAAGAGTCTGTTTCCGTGCTGTAGGCTCTAAGACTCTATGGAAGCTTTTCAAATATCGCTATTTATTTCTCCAAGTTTTCTTACTTCCATATCCTTCTCCACGGTAAAAACTGATGCAAAAAATATATTTAGTATCTCACCATCTCCTGCGGTTCCACATATAGTTGGGCCTTGTTGATCTTTAAGGGGCCCTGGTCTCTCCCTAGTTACTCTTTTGTTCTTAATGTATTTGTGGAATTTTTTTGGATTCTCCTTAATCCTATTTGTCAAAGTTATCTCATGTCCCCTTTTTGCCTCTGATTTCCTTCTTGAGTATACTTCTACTGCCCTTATACTCCTTTAGAGATTCACTCGATCCCAGCTGTGTATACCTGACATATGCTTCCTTCTTTTTCTTGACCAGAGCCTCAATTTCTCTAGTCATCCAGCATTCCCTGCACCCTCCAGTCTTGCCCTTCACCCTAGCAGGAACATACTGGCTCTGGACTCTTGTTATCTCATTTTTGAAGGCCTCCCACTTTCCAGCCATCCTTTTAGTTGTGAATAGCCTCCCCCATTCAACTTTTGAAAGTTCTTGCCTAATACCATCAAAATTGGCCTTCCTCCAATTTAGAACTTTAACTTTTAGGTCTGGCCTGTCCTCTTCCATCACTATTTTAAAACTAATGGAATTATGGTCACTGGCCCCAAATTGCTCCCCCACTGACACCTCAGTCACCTGTCCTGCCTTATTTCCCAAGGTCCTGTAGAGAGCAATGCTGGGAAACCAGGTAATATGTTTTACTGATGGTTGAGGGATAAATATTGGTCAGGGCATGACAATGAATCTATCCGTTCTTTTAAGTACTGGGGGTGCTGCCTAAAAGGGCAGTCAGAACTTGAACAAGTGGAGTCAATCTGGATGAAACCAGTTTTGTAGGGCAGGGACAGGCTTAAAATGATGCTTCTATCAGGACAAATACTAAATAAAAACCAAAAAAACTGCAGATGCTGTAAATCAGGAACAAAAGTAGAAGTTGCTGGAAAAGCTCAGCAGGTCTGGCAGCATTTGTGAAGGAAAAAATCAGTTAACGTTTTGGTTCTGGTGACCCTTCGTCAGAACCCAAAATGTTAACTCTGATTTTTTCTTCACTGATGCTGCCAGACCTGCTGAGCTTTTCTAGTAGCTTCTGTTTTTGCATCTATCAGGGCAGTTCTATTAATGGACCGTGAAGCGGGTAGAAGCGGGCTGTTTGGGTTAGGGTGCCATAAGGTTGGAGGTAGTAGAGGAAAGATCACCAGAGGCAAATGGACAACTGTGACAGTCCTGGAAAAAAACAATGCTTGCTGTTCAATGATTGAATCATATGCCTGGGGAAGGTAACAGGAAGGGACCGTGTCAATGTTCAGGGAGAGGGTAGTGCACCAGATGACAACAGGACCATCTTTGTTAGCAGGTCTGTCAGAACATCTTAGTGTTTGACTGACAGGATTAGAGGGAAATAGGTTAGAGTGCGTAGAAAAGTTGAGATGACAAGTTCATGCCAGCGTTCGAAATGATAAAGCTCTGAGGGGATAAAAAGCTAGAAGTCCAGGTGGTGTTAGAATACTGGAGATGTGGAAAAGGAAATCAGGGAAGATTCTTGTGGGTGGGGACGTAAAGACTACAGATGAGGATCTCAACATCACACTGAGCTTGAAATTCATCTCAGGTGGGGTCTTAAGGGGAAGAAGACAAAACCTTTGCTAAGGACAAATAGTTATGGGGAACAGATAGGGGTGTAGCCAGGCCAAAAGGTAGTGTCAACACTTGACAAGGGTTGATCTTCACTGAGTCATCCTCAAGAAAGTGCAGGGAACAGCAGACGTTGTTTGTAAACCTCACTAAAACAGTTTGAGCTGGTTTGTTGAGAGAAACTGAACTCCTTTCAAAAAAAAATATTGATTGCCAACCAAACCTATTCAGATCGCGAAATCCTTTAACTGTGAAATGAAACAGAATTATTTGCAATGGAATGCGATCTGGTTCATTTCCATTACAAAGTGGTGTAAATCTCTAAATACTGTATCAATGCTCTTTGATATCCTCTTCACCTTCTTCCTCTTGTATGCTTTCCAGGATAAAGATTACAGAGAATGAGTCTCACTTAATATTGAATTCAATTGGCCAACTGCCCAGACTGATAGCAAAATACTGAAATGAGACATGCCTTTATAGATGAATTACTGTTTGCTGATGATACAGCTTTTAGGATATATTGAGCTGTAGGCTTGCAATGTGCCTTCTCAACCATTGCTGTGGAAGATGGAGTCATGATCAGCCAATGGAAAACATGACGTTGACTCATGACAATCTGTCCAAAGCAGTATCGTAACTAAACAACATAGAAAAGTGTACACAAACCCTGGGGACAATAGTCTCAAGTAAAATGAAGCTTGATCAGATTATCTCTATTTGTGCCACTGTAGCATTTGAATAACTTCAGGCAACAGACAGTCACGGAGTCACACAATTATACAGCATGGAAACAGACCCTTCAGT